GAAACCTGCCCAACCTCTAATGTGTATTTTTTATCTTTGTTTCTCTTCATGCTTCATTCTGAATATTTTCTTTTGACTTCCAATTCACTGAAACACTCTTTGGCTGTATCTATAGCCTTCTGGCAAGATTCTTAGCCGTTGCCTACCCAAATCCAACTACTCATAGTTTATCACTACCATCTGCTATATGACCAAAAGAATTAGTCTTGTTACCCTAAATCTGGGTTTAAAAATGTTACAAGAGCAGCCTCAGATTCTCAGATCCTGTTTATTCCATAAACTCCAATCTTCATCTCTATGGGTAGTGAGGCAACCTTTCGCCATCCCCTCTTTTTAACATATTTAATTAATCTGTCTCATTCCATAGGATAAGGGCTCCATGAAAGAAATGTTTTGGTTGTCCAATTCACTATTGTTTCCTCACTGAATGAACAGTGCCAGCTGTTTAAATTTAAGCACTAAATAAATGTTAAATGAATAAGTAGTATGCCACCTTTTTAATGAGAACCTATCAAAGTGAAACTTTATGAAATACTAATTAAAAACTTTATTTTTCAAAACAACACCAAGAACAAAAAGCTACATAGAAGAGCATAACAACTAAGTAAATACTAAGGGAAAAAAGTCACTTAGAATTGGAAAGAAGGGAAGGAAATCATTTGATTGGTTATTTTTATGATCCTCCCCCAAACTGATTAAATCTATCAAGATGTGGGTTCAAAAACTCTTCTACTGTCCAGTTTGATTCATGACTTCCTGATACGGTGATAAATTGTTGGTAGTATTGAAATATATGCACTAGGGGCAGAAATGCATTAAGTAGCTCTCTAAATTTGGGTGAATATAATGCTTGATTTATTAATCTCCTCCAACGATCATTTATGGTAGCATTAGCACAGCAGTACCTAAAGCCAAAATTTATCTGAATCACAAGCTGTATCAGTAAGGTTTGTAGAAAAAGGTTTCAAAACCTGCTAACTGCCTTGCTCTCTCTCACCAGATCAGTTTTTTGCTCCTTACCTTGAGGGCAAAGATGGGAAAAGGGTGGGGTTGGACTGCAAAGCTGTGCTGAACCAAATGTTGATGAATAAAAGTCATCTTTTTATCTTTCTCCTTCTTTTGTCCCTCTGTAAGGAGAGCTATTATAATTATATAAAATATATAATTATCCCATGAATTATTTCAACAAAAAACAAAATTAAGTGCTAAATAATAGTAAGGTACTTTAGTAAAACTGGGGCTAAATTTCTGTGAACCTTGCCCTCTTTATAAATGCAATGGCTTTGCCAACAATTAATTTGAAATATTTCTCATATAACTGTTTGAGAAATCTAAAACAACTACGTAAGGAAGAAAGATCTTCTGAATAGTTAAAAGTCTTGATTCTTCTGTTAAAGGTTATGCATTTTAATATGATCTTTTGGTTGATTTATGTAAAGCTTTGTATTTTTCATTTTCTCAAGCCTGTCATGGTAGTGATGTATGGTGTATTTTAGCATCAAGTTTGCTATAAGCAATAAAGTCAGAGCCCTAAAAGAAATTTTAATATATTTCTTCATTTTTAACCTGGAGCTTTCCATTATTCACTTATTTTGTTTGGGATCCCATGTTTATTGATATAATTTTTACTTTCACATAAATAATTTAATATTTAATTCAAAGGTAACATTTAAATAGATTATTCAATAAAAAGTTAAAGGGTCATTATATATAAAGTGAAAATCTTAGCAATAACTTAAATTTCACACTAAAAACCTCTCTAAAGGTTGTATGCTATGTTCCAGTTTGCTTGGAGTATTTTATCTAACAAGATAAAAGAAAAATAAACAAGAAAGTGACTTTCATTAAATAATATGAAGCATGAAATGGAAGCATGTTTATAAAACCCTACATGAAGAAAAAAAAAAAGAAGTATGAAAGTAACAAACAGTTAAAAATTCTTACTGTAGAACTAACTGCTGTTGTAGGAGCTATGAGATGAATAAAGAGGAGTCCTTCAGAAATTTTCATCCTAGTGGAAATAGTAAGTCTGTAAACATCCTGGTGGCTCAGAGGTTAAAGCGTCTGCCTTCAATGAGGGAGACCAGGGTTTGATCCCTGGGTCGGGAAGGTCTCCTGGAGAAGGAAATGGTAACGCACTCTAGTCTTGCCTGGAGAACCCCATGGAAGGAGGAGCCTGGTAGGCTACAGTCCAAGGGGTCTCAATTGAATGTTTATGGTAAAGGAGAGATAGCTCTAATAGATGGTTCATTTCTTTGTGTGCCTGAGTTACTAGGTGGGAAACAGTAGTGCTAAATAACAAAAGAAACAGTGCACTTGGAGGGGAAAATGAGTTGAAAGTTGGTACATAATGAGCTTGATCCTTATTGGCAGTCACGTCCAGCAGCCAGTCAGAAATAGGGATGTAGAGTTAAGGAGGAAAAACATATATTAATATAAAGACGATAAAGAGAGTGCCTTAAGAATTATCTATATAGAAGTAAAAAGTAAACTTGTAAGACAAGATAAAATCTCAGAAAGAGACTAACAGCAATTCATCAAAGTAATTGACAAAGCTAGATTGCAAATGTGTTATAAAGTATATAGAAAGTAAAGAAATTTTGGGAACAGATACAGATTTTCAGAGTGGTATTCAAGGTATACATTCATGGTCTCACTATTATTTGGGGTAGAGTGTTAATTTGTTAATATGAGTTTGAAATGACAATGTGATTTTGATAAAACATGTGGAAGTCTATCATTTTTTTTTTTTGGCCATGCTGTGTGACATGTGGGATCTTCCAATGACTAGGGATCAAACCTGTATTCCCTGCATGTGAAGCACAGAGTCTTAACCATTGGATTGCCAGGGAAGTCCCATATCTGTCATTTTTGCCCTCTAGCATTTAACCATCTTTCTTTTATTAATGACACTTTGTTTTCGTTCTATAAAATCCCCTTCTCTACTACCTGAGTGGGCTCAGAGGTAGAGCTGGTGACTTGGCCAGTGCTTTACTCAAGCCACTGATACATAGTACAATTTCCAGGAAAGGAACTCTTACTTATTTCTTTCCTGATTCACACTAAGAATGCTACCTTGATGTCTGTCATTTGCAAAAAAAAAAAAAAGTTGAAAGGAGGCAATATTTAACATATTAGGTTAGAATGATGAAAATAAAAAGGATATTCAAGCATATATACATAAAACTCTGATGAAAGAAATCAAAGAAGAATAAAATAAACAGATATCCCAAGGTCATGGATAGTAAGATTCAGTACTGTTAAGATGTCAGTTCTTTCCAACTTGATCTATAGATTTAATGTTATTCCATTCAAAATCTTACAAAGTTGTTTTGTAGATATAAAAAATGGACTCTGATGCTTAAAGGGAAAGGTAAACAGGCCTAGAATAGTTAATACAATATTGAAGGAGAAGAACAAAGTCAGAGTCTGACATTATCTGACTTTAAGATACACTACAAAGCTACAGTAATTAAGACATTGTGGTATTAGCAAAAGAATAGACAAACAGATCAACGGAACAGATAGAGAGCTGAGAAATAGGTCTACATAAATATAGTCAACTGATCTTTGACAAAGGAGCAAGGAAATATAATGGAGAAAATACAGTCTTTTCAACAGATGATGCCAGAACCACTAGATATCTACACATAAAAAAAAGAATCCAGACCAAACCTTATATCCCTTTACAAAAATTAAGTCAAAATGAATAACAGATCCAAATGTAAAATGCAAAAGTATAAAAATCATAGAAGATTTAAAATAGGAGAAAATCTAGATGATCTTGGGTTTGGTGATGACTTTAAGATATAATACCAAAGACATAATTGATGAAAGAAATAATTAATAACCTGGGCTTCATTAAAACTAAAAATGTCTGCTTTGGCAAAGTTATTGGCAAAGAATGAGAAGACAAGCCATAGACTGCAAGAAAATATTTGCAAAAGACATAGCTGATAAAGAACTATTTCCAAAACATACAGAAAATTCTTAAATCTCAATAATAAGAAAACAGAGTTCAAATAAAAAATGGGCAGAAGGTCTGAGCAGATATCTCACTAAATATAATATAGAGATAGTAAATAAAATATATGAAAAGATGTTCCACATCATATGTCATCAGGGAAATCCAAATTAAAACAGCAATGAGATACTATTACATACCTATCAAAATGACAAAAGTGCAAAACACTGACAATATCAAAAGCTGACAAGGATGCAGAGGAACGCAAATAGTGAACAGAGGGAATAGGAATAGAGAATAGTGAATCTCATTCACTGCTGGTGGGATGCAAAATGGTACAGACACTTTGGAAGACAGTTTGATAGCTTCTTGTGAAATTAAATATACTTTTACCATATAATCCAGCAATCATGTTCCTTGGCATTTACTTCAGAGTTGACAAGTTATGTCCATACAAAAACTTGCATATGGGTATTTTATAGTAGTTTTATTCAAAATTGCCAAAACTTGGATGCAACCAAGATGTTCTTAAGTAGGTGAATGGATAAATAAATCATGGTATGTCCAGACAATGGAATACTATTAAGCATTTAAAAACTTATGAAAAGACACACAGAAACCTTAAATGTATATTACTAAGGCAAAGAAGCCAATCTAAAAATGGCAACATACTGTATTATTCTAACTATATGACCTTCTGGAAAAAGCAAAACTATGGAGATAATGAAAAGATCAGTGGTTGCCAGGGGATGGAGGAAGTAAGTGATGAAAGGTGGAGCACAGATGATTTTTTAGGGCAGTGGACATACTCTGTATGACATGTATAATGATGGATACATGTCATCCATAGAATGTACAATACTGAGTTGATTGTCTATGGACTTTGGGTGAAAATGATGTGTCAGTGTAAATCTCTTGTTTGTAACAAATGTACTGTTGTGGTGTGGAATGTTGACAGTTGGGGGGCACTGTGCATCTCTGTGCCTTCTGCTCAATTTTTCTGTGAATTCAAAAAACAGCCTGAAGTCAACATAGGTAACACTGAAAAATTGTGTGTTTTTAATCAGTTATAAAATAACCAATAAGAGCTAATGGTATTCTTCCTGATTGTCCAGTAATGTTGAAACAATGAATATATTATGAACAAAAATGATGACACCTAGTAAATGTGATTAACTAAATATAGTGGTTGCTTTTTCATCTTCATTTTCAAATGCCTTTGCATCATGGTATCATTGGCTGAGATGAGAGCAGAAACAAGAAAAAGAAAATAAACTAGGGTGATGAAGGCAAAGGAATGTTAAGAGGTGAGGACTGCAGATGAAGTAAAGGGGAAAAGAAAAAGTTCCCAGAGATGATGCACAGGATGTGTTAACCAATCAATGGTTCTATTAATTTCTGATAAAGTAAATGTTTCTAAGAATTAAAAAAAAAGGGTGATGAGAAAAAGTGGTACAAAATAATCAAGACAATGCTATGTAATTTTTTAAATTACATAGAAATAGCAGGTTAGTAACAAAAATGTTTTTCAAGAGTTATGTATATAATTAGATGTTCTGCAGTTGTCAGGTACTGGGGACACCTAAAAAAAAACAAAGGAAACATACCATATTTATTCAGTGTCAATGAGTATTGTACCTCAAAGAAGTAACATTCTTTTCCCAAAGAGGGAAAACGGTCAGTAAAGACTAACGAAATACCCAAACAGTGTGAATGAGCTATTTAGGTAGAGCTGAACGTTTAACGGCCAACGTATCTAAACCAGAATTTGGTGGGTTTGGTTTTTGCGTGTGTGCACATGCAGCAAAAGTAGCAGAGACATAGAAATAAGAAGCTTCTTTCAGTGGGTCTGAAAGAAACCTGGATAGTTTAGCTTCATTGTCTTCAGGGTTACCAGCTTTTGGGTAAAAGGTCACTGAATAGCCTCCTTCCAGCCCAATTCAATGATCTATTTTCAACCCTGTCTATCTTAATTTTTCTGGAGAAATGACAGCAAATATCATTCCCTACTTTTGGAAACTCCTCCTGATTAAGAGATTTCTGGGGTTCCCATTTTTCTCCTTCCTTTGCTGATCATTGAGTCTCTTGATTCTTCAGATTATCTAATATATATATACATCTCTGGGTGTGCATCAAGACTTGGTGATAAAACATGAAAGATGCAGAAGCCTTTTCCCAATCCTTTATGTCTTAAGGAGCAGAACTTTTAATCAAAGGGTCTAATCTAGGCCTTAACTACTTTACAAAACATTTAAAAATAAACCTTCTGCTGTATCTTGACAGTATATTTAAAATAAAACTCTTTATCATATTTTTTGCTGAATTTTCCATCTTTTATTTGTACGTCTGTTCTCTTGTTTATTTTTGGAACAGCTCTAATTTCTCATACTCCTCTTACTCCTCTTAAATTTTGTATGAGCATTCAATTTATCCTCAAACCTTTCCCCTACAGCTAATGCTCAACAACCTAACTCTTAATTTATTAGAGGATTTAATATTTGGTTATACATTGTCCTGTATTCTCCTTGATTAATGTATATATGATCCCTTTTCAGATGAACTACAAACTCTTCAGAAATATAATGTCTTTTATATCATATAGAGCTCTCAAAACCATAAACATTTGAAAAATTCTTAGTTATTGACTGAGGATCTGAAAAAAACCATTTTTTACCTTTCATTTGTTGTTATGGAGTTATATATATAGAGATAATGCACATATCCCAATTTCCACTTTAAATCACTGCAAATTTTAGATTACTTGCCTTATCCTCCAAGTGCAATTCTAAAAAGCGTAGGTAAGCCACAGGTGCAAATGCATCAGCTGAATGTGTGACTACTTCTGATGAATCTCTGAAATAAAATAAAAATTATAGTTTATCTACTATGCAAAATCTGTTTTGTACAAACTAACTCCTACTAGTGACTAGAAAAGACCAAAATCCTCATTTATTTCTACTGGAATACTACTGTATACATATTTACTTCACAATTAGTGATTAACATCTACTTTTAATAATTAAATATTTAATTGGGAAAAAGATGGAGGAAACTAAACTTTCAAGAATAAGTAAAGAAGCTTTTCATCTTTATGAGGACACACAGTTCAACTTTCAGGTTCACTCAAAGCTCTCTGAACAGTTTTACAACCTGAAGCCTGTATTCAATTTTGTTCTCACAAAGTTGGTTGGTATGGGCTAACCATTAAACAATAGGGCTTTATCTTCATTATTCTTTTCATTTTCAAGAGGTAATTCATTCACTGTTTCACACAAAATCTCAATTATCCTTCACAAAAGCAGTACTGGTGATGGTTTTAAGCTCTAGATGAACTCTTCACACTGTAATATCATTGCTATTAAAATTGACTGTCTGACATAGCAATTACCACATTCAGGTAAAATAGTATGAACTGCTTGCTGGCACCATATGGATACATGTAAATTAAATCAACTTTTATCAAAGATACCCTGCAAAGCACATGTAAATAAATAAGATTATGTGTGAAGTTCTAATAACTAATTATTTTTATTATTGTTTATTAAGAAGCAGTGTTTTTGCATTTTAACTGAAATTCTAAAAGCAGACATTTCTCATCTCTTTTTAAAGCCTCAGGAACTAGTTGCACTGTTCATACTAGTACATTGTTAGCATCTTAACCATTGTGGTACAGCAAAATAGATTCTTACTTTGCCTCTTTTACACTTACATAAAATAATTTTGAATCAGTGTTTGTAATGAAAAGTTATTTAGTGGCAATAGAAGAAATCTTAAAATACTAGGATCCAGTATATTAAATTTTCATGGGTAAATCTGTTTACTTTTCACATGAAAATCAGAGATAGAGAAAAAGCAGTCTGATGATACCACTCATGAACCTTTTGTATCAAATATGAATCTTGTTAGTGCTTTAAAAATTACATTAAAATGGGCTTATATGACATTAAAAGAAAAGTAACACATTACAATAGAAATAAAATCATTAAAGAGTTGCGATCATGAAAGGAAGTAATAACCTGTCTTCACAGACTACCTAAACCAAAAGATGCCTCCCTGTATAATGAGCAAGAGGAGGAGAAAAAGAAAGCAAAGAGGAGACCTCTTGCTTTTTACCACTTGCCTCTCTGCCTTGTTAACCCTAGTTAAGTTGTCCTGCTTATTTACTCCATACTTGTCTGTCCTGGTTCTATCTTGGCTCATCAGTTCAGTTGCTCAGTTGTGTCTGACTCTTGGTGACCCCATTGACTGCAGCACGGCAGGCCTCCCTATCCATCACCAACCTGAAGTTTATGCAAACTCATGTTCACGGAGTTGGTGATGCCATCCAGCCACCTTATCCTGTGTTGTCCCCTTCTCCTCCTGCCTTCAATCTTTCTCAGCAACAGGGTCTTTTCCAATGAGTCAGTTCTTCACATCAGGTGGCCAAAGTATTGGAGTTTCAGCTTCAGCATCATTCCTTCTAATGAATATTTAGGACTGATTTCCTTTATGGACTGGTTGGATCTCCTTGCAGTTCAAGGGACTCTCAAGAGTCTTCTCCAACACCACAGTTCAAAAGCATCTAACCTTTGGCACTCAGCTTTCTTTATAGTCCAACTCTCACATCCATACATAACTACTGGAAAAGCCATAGCTTTGACTAGACCTTTGTTGGCAAAGTAATGTCTCTTCTTCTTAATATGCTGTCCAGGTTGGTCATAACTTTTCTTCCAAGGAGCAAGCATCTTTTAATTTTATGGCTGCAGTCACCATCTGCAGTGATTTTGGAGCCCAAGAAAATAAAGTCTCTGTTTCCCCATCTATTTGCCATGAAGTGATGGGACCAGATGCCATGATCTTAGTTTTCTGAATGTTTTGTTTTAAGCCAGCTTTTTCACTCTCCTCTTTGACTTTCATCAAGAGGCTCTTTAGTTCTTCTTCCCTTTCTGCCATGAATGTGGTTTATCTGCCATGAATGTGCATATCTGAGGTTATTGATATTTCTCCCTGCAATCTTGATTCCAGCTTGTGCTTCATCCAGTCCAACGTTTCTCTTGATGTACCCTGCATATAAGTTAAATAAGCAGGGTGACAATATATAGCCTTGACATACTCCTTTTCCTATTTGGAACCAGTTGATTGGTCCATGTTCAGTTCTAACTGTTGCTTCCTGACCTGCATACAGATTTTTCAAGAGGCAGGTCAGGTGGTCTGGTAATCCCATCTCGAAGAATTTTCCAGAGTTTGTTGTCGTCCACACAGTCAAAGGCTTTGGCATAGTCAATAAAGCAGAAGTAGATGTTTTTCTGGAACTCTCTTGCTTTTTCAATGATCCAATGGATGTTGGCAATTTGATCTTTGGTTCCTCTGCCTTTCCTAAAACCAGCCTCAACATCTGGAAGTTCACAGATCACGTACTGTTGAAGCCTCGCTTGGAGAATTTTGAGCATTACTTTACTAGCATGTGAGATGAGTTCAATTGTGTGGTAGTTTGAACTTTCTTTGGCATTGTCTTTCTTAAGGATTGGAATGAAAACTGACTTTTCCAGTCCTGTGGCTCCTGCTGAGTTTTCCAAATTTACTGGCATATTGAGTGCAGCACTTTCACAGCATCATCTTTTAGTATTTGAAATAGTTCCACTGGAATTCCATCACCTCCACTAGCTTTGTTCATAGTGATGCTTCCTAAGGCCCACTTGACTTCACATTCAAAGATGTCTGGCACTAGGTTGGTGATCACACAATTGTGATTCTTGGGTCGTGAAGATCTTTTTTGTATAGTTCTTCTGGGTATTCTTGCCACCTCGTCTTAATATCTTCTGCTTCCCTTAGATGCATACCATTCCTGTCCTTTATTGAGCCCATCTTTGCATGAAATGTTTCCTTGGTATCTCTAATTTTTTTAAAGAGATCTCTAGGCCTTCCCATTCTTTTTTCCCCCTTTATTTCTTTGCATTGATCCTTGAAGAAGGCTTCCTTAGCTCTCTTTGCTATTCTTTGGTACTCTGAATTCAAATGGTTATATCTTTCCTTTTCTCCTTTGTCTTTTGCTTCTCTTCTATTCACAGCTATTTGTAAGGCCTCCTCAGACAACAATTTTGCCTTTTTGCATTTCTTTTCCTTGGAGATGGTCTTGATCCCTGTGTCCTGTACAATGTCAGGAACTTCCATCCATAGTTCTTCAGGCATTCTGTCTATCAGATATAATCCCTTGAATCTATTTGTCACTTCCACTGTATAATTGTAAGGGATGATATGATTTAGGTCATACCTGAATGGTCTAGTGGTTTTCCCTTCTTTCTTCAATTTCAGTCTGAATTTGGCAATAAGTAGTTCATGGTTTGTGCCACAATCAGCTCCCAGTCTTGTTTTTGCTGACTGAATAGAAATTCTCCATCTTTGGCTGCAAAGAATATAATCAATCTGATTTTGGTATTGACCATTTGGTGATGTCCATGTGTAGAGTCTTCTCTTGTGTTGTTGGAAGATGGTGTTTGCTATGACCAGTGCATTCTCTTGGCAAAACTCTATTAGCCTTTTCCCTGCTTCATTTTGTACTGAAAGGCCAAATTTGCTTGTTACTCCAGGCATTTCTTGACTTCCTACTTTTGCTTTCCACTTCCCTATAATGAAAATAACATCTTTTTTGGGTATAAATTCTAGAAGTCCTTGTAGGTCTTCATAGAACCATTCAACTTCAGCTTCTTCAGGATTACTGGTCAGGGCATAGACTTGGATTACGGTGATATTGAATGGTTTGCCTTGGAAACGAACAGAGATCATTCTGTCGTGTCTTGGCCCATCAATAGATTCAAATTCTTACTCCTGGATATGATCTCATTTTTACATTAAATTTTGATCTCTCGGGGTTACCATTTCCAGCTTTGGAAACTCACCCTGAGCCTGAATTATGCCTGAGGTAGCCAGCTTGGTCTTGATATCCTTGACAATGAATACACCAAAACTATGACTAATCAAAACCAATGATGTGTCAGTAGAAAGGGTTTCAGGCCCTTCCTTCTCATGCCAGTTATCCCCACTAGAAACACGATTGGCAGCAAATGGCTCACTTAATTGATATAATTATCACATTTGAATCAAGATTGTTTTCCAGAGAAAATATATAACAGAGAAATAGATATATATATATAAATTATATATATATAAATATATAACAAAGAAAATATCTAACTATACTATATAACATAACTAAATGAAGAGGAATAAGATTTTTATGGATTCTATTGCATCCACAATTGACTAATATAATTTCATTCTCTTATACAAAGCCAGAATCAACTGGAAGACAGATAATAGATATCAAATAAATAGCTTGTAGCTTCAAAGAGCATAATGCCACTATTGCTCTTCTTTTCTTTCAAAAACTGTCACTTGAAACTCAACATTCAAGGGTCTCTGGTTTCTGTTGGCTTCTGAAACCCAGAACAGGATCTGCGGGAGTATCCTCAGAGAAACCCCCAAATTAAGAACAACTGAACTACAGCAAAAATGCTTTCCAGTTAGCTACCATCCTCCTCTTTCCCTACTGATACAAGTAATCAGTGCAGCCTCGACTTCTTACAGAATGGAGATTTCTCTGTAGCAAACAGCTGGATCTGACATTCCCTTTCACTGCTGCGTTAGGCTTATCCCCCGTTACAGTTTCAAAAGGGCAGCTACCTGAGACAGGTCTGAGTCTCTCTTCTCTGAGCCAGACTCTCTCTCAAGGTATGAGGTCAGGCCCTACCCTCTCACTTCAAAAAACTGATACTTTCTCTTGAGATTCAGCCATGATCTTGGTTCCTACTTCTCTAAAACACAGCCACACATAGATATGCCCCATGAACTCACACTTATGCTCACATTTCTGTGAAGCCTTGCCTGACATCCTCAGACAGTGCTAGTTTTCTGCTTTCTGTGATTTGATCATGCATTTGTGTGTGTGTGTGTGTGTGTGTGTGTGTGTGTGCATGCGCGCACACACTCAGTTGCTCAGTCGTGTCCAACTCTTTGTGACCCCATGGACTGTAGCCCGCCAGGCTCTTCTATCCTTGGGATTTTCCAGGCAAGAATACTGGAGTGGGTTGCCATTTCTTCCTCCAAGGGATCTTTGCAACCCAACAGCCCTTTCATAATACATCTACTATATTAGAATTATGTTTCTGTGCTTGTCTTCCATTTTCAAAGAGGGACTAAGTTTCATTCATCTTTGTCTGTTCCTCCATACTTCACCTCTGGCTCAGAGAAGAATATATTGCCAGGTATTCATTCATTTGTTGAATAAAAAAATTACCATATAGTTTAACTTTGTTAAACATATTTACTATAAAAAAATCCACACAGATTTTTCAATTACCTATCTTTACATGAATATATACATTTTCATACATGTATATTACTTGTATACATATAAATGAACATAATCACACATATATACCAATAACATCATATAGCACCTCTAGCATAATAAAAATAATTATATAAATTTAAATACAAGGAAAATTAGTTCATAAATTTTAGTTTCCCAAGTGATATAGGAGAGACATGAGAAAGTAGATAAGGAAAGTACTTGACTCATCCCCACTGCTAAATGTGATATTAGGATGCTATGGGCTGAGTTATGTCTTGACTTGAATAAGTAGAAACTAGGAGTGAGTGGGGAAAATGAGTGCATAGTGTTTTAATTATAGAATTTAGTTCTTTTCATCCCTTCTTCCTTCCCACTATTTCTTCTATCCATCCACCCATTCCATACATAGCAACTGTGTAGCATTAGTATATTAATATTGTAGTTCAAATGGAAATGTGGGGTTGTATCAAACACTGACATTAAAGGTGTGTTCATCAATAGCAAGAGGAAAATTATCACTTTCATTAATAGAGTACTGGGACTTTAGTTTTTATTTTTTCCCCCAAAATATTGGTTATATTCTTGTGTTTCAATTCTTACTTTCGATATACATACATACATATTTCAAAGTAAGAAACAATAGGAAAATAGGTTTATTATTTTTAGGACCTACAAGTATCTTCTTCTCTTAAAGACTAAGCCATAATTTTTTTTTTTATCTAGGCTGCTCAGGAAAAAACTCATTTTCTGATCTAAAAATTTGTATCTAGAGGTGGGTAGGCATATCGTAATTGATGTGAAAAGTATATTGCAAAATGTTCCAGTAAAAATTTTTCTAAATTACTTCCAGACAAAGACTGGTATGCTAGTCTTTCCTACAAGATTTTAAAAATGTTAATTGGAATATATCTCATAATACATCTCATAATAAACTTCTAGAAAGTGAAAGTGAAAGTCACTCAGTCATGTCCAACTCCTTGTGACCCCATGGACTATACAGACCATGGAATTCTCCAGGCCAGGGATACTGGAGTGGGTAGCCTTTCCCTTCTCCAGGGATCTTCCCAAGCCAAGGATCGAACCCAGGTCTCCCAAATTGCAGGTGGATTCTTTACCAGCTGAGCCACATGGGAAGCCTAAACTTCTAGAACCACCTCATTTGTCTCATTATACAAGAGAGTTAATCTGTGTTTAAAAAAAAAAATCACCATTTATAATCAAATAATTTTACATGAAAAAGTTTATTTTTTTCTCCTGTTAGATGTAATCTCTTTTTAACAATAAATTTTTGAGTCACAAATTTAAAAGGGGACTCCTAATAATCAACTAGTTGTATGCTAATTGTGGAAGATCACTACTATATCAAATAGAACAGGAAATAGCATAAATTTGTCTCTCAAATAAAGTCCAACTTACAGGATCCAGGATGATTAATAGTCAGTTGTTAACAAGTAGTTACCTGGTTTAAACTTATCATTTAATTTTATCACATGGACAACTATCTCTAAGTGAAATAACTTAATTTACATAATGGTTTTAGAATGTGCAACGCTTGTTCACTCACACCATCACATTCAGTGCTTATCAGATAGGTATGGTAAGGACATTTTCCATTTTAAAGTAAAGGAAAGATTTTATATATAGTGGGTGATATTCTTTTTCCATTCAACTACTATAACCTGTAAGTATAATTTAAGAAAGAAATGCATAAAAATGAAATATGTATATATAAAAATAAACAATAAGTAAAATTAATTCAATGATATTCAACATTTATTAGTATCTACTGTATGTTCTGAGAGTTCAGTTATGAATATAGGCACTGGGGCAATAACCACCAAAGTTTTTTAAAATGGAAGGATTTATCAAAGTAGGGAAAAATGGGAAGGCAATCAAGAGAAAAGAATTCAAATAAGAAAGCTGTGAAGCTGAGGTGAGGCAGAACATATGAAGAAAAGAAAGCAGAGAATTTGCCAGCATCAGATTTAGATTAGCGATTAGGTGACAAGAAAGAAATATCATCAGCACTTCCTCCGCTGTTCCTGAGGGGTGCACGCTACAGTGTTGGTGATTAGCCCCTCCATTCTTAAAGAACCCCTACAGAGCAGGGCAGCAGCCTGCACAGTTCCACCCACATAACTCTCCTCAACATTTGATTACCCAGTTCAACTGAACAGCTCATTTTGGAACTAGAGGGTTCTAATACGCTTCCCCCGACTTCTCTCTCTTTAACATCATGACTAACTCCCATCGTGCCATTTTCCCAGTTAGGTTGAGGTTTCCTTATCTACAGAATGATAACGTAAGATTCATTTTTCAGGTCTACAGTTTACTATGATAAACAAACCTTCTGGTTATGTAATGTAAAGCAGTACATTTCTTATAATTCTAGGTTGTCCATAAAGACTTCTAGGTGCCCCGGGAACTCAAGTTGTCAAATAAATAGGAAGAATATTCTTCTTTGGCTTTTTTTCTCTTATTCTGCTTTTTATTTTTTTCCTAATTTTGTTAGTCCCATATTAATAAGTAAGTATATGCAAGTTTCCCATTATACAGCAATTTCACCCAAGCATGGAAATGCCCTTCTTGAGTAACAAAACAGTATTTTTTCACAGAAGCAATACCTAATGCACAATTCAATCATGAATTGTTTTGTGATCACTTAAGTCAGGAGAAATACCTCCTATTTATGAAATTTTTCTTGTGGCTCTTATTCTCTACCATTTTGTGTCAAATTCTATGCAGATGTATCATCCTCCCATCATTTTGGAGACAGGAACTATGTTCTACATCAATGGTGCCCAGTAGAATGTTTCAGGCATAATAGGTATAATAGGTACATATTTGCCAAATGCACTGTTATGTTGATGATTATTAATGGGAAAGAAGTTAGAAGAAATGAGAAAAGCAAGAGTGGGTAAATATTGCAAAGGATGAGGTCTTGGCTATGTTTCTCAAGATAAAGGTATTTTTTAGAAAATTCACCTCGAGTTGTCATCATTTTTTAGAACACTCCTTCCCTCATTATTAGTATGTACAAAGAAATCACCTTTCAGTGCTGAAAACAATGAAGCTTTTCATTCAATCCAAGATTCTAATCTTTTAGCAGGTGAGGTTTCTGAAATCAAACGTAATTCTGACAACCGTTTCAAGAAGGCTAAAGAGCTTAGGAAAAGCAAATAAAATGCTCTCTTAGCATATGAGAAGAGTGATATAAATTAAGAGTATGGGTAATGATGTAACGAACTGAAGAAAGTCCCTGTCTTTTACTACACAAATTTTTAACAATTTATGGCAAAGAACTCACACTACTCACCACAAACAGAATTCATTTTTAAGAAGTTTATAGGTAAAAATAACCCCAAATAATTGAAGAGAGCTGTTTAGTATAACCATTCTCAGTTATTAAAGCCAAGAAGAAGGAAAAAGAGGACGGAGTTAATGGAGCCCACAGGCCCCTGCTGTGGCAGTTTGTCAAATGTAGCTGTAATGAAAGATAAATAACACAGGCAATTCACACTTCATGAAGGGATGAAAGTGTCAGTGTGTAGGTACCAGTTTTACTGCAGGCCATAATCAGCAAGTAAACGAAAGTGCAATGTCTAAAAAGTTTATAGGCTTCTATGAAGGCCTCGTCTTGTCAGGTATTGATTTAGGTATTCAGACGACTTCACTGGTATTAAACAAATTGAGTGTTTGTGAACTTGGAGGACATGTTCTATTTCTCCCAACAAAAGTTGCCTCCAGCTTAAAGTTAAGTTGCTTCCATCACTTAAATTTGAGGAAGGGGAAGAAAATGCTGAAATGATATCTTACACAATTATTTTCTTCTTAAATAGAGGGCAATCCAAAGTGAACGTTTCATATTCTCCACCTTCTCCACAAACATGGACTCCATATTTCTTAGAAAGCTGAAAATAGAAAAAAAAGAAAGAAACAGGAAACTTAAAATTTAGATAACAAAAATGTTCACTTAACTTATTTTGTCCTAAAAAAAATCCATGTCAGTAACTTTAATTCCAAAATAGATTGTGAGCTATAGGAAAATGACTGTATATTTCTGTTTAAAAACTGTTAAAAATCGTTTGAAAAATGTTATCATAAAGCACAGCATTTTAAATAATCCCCAAATCCTTATAAAAAGATATATTGGACCAACATTTTTATGTATAATGAAAAAGCTTAAAGATTACTATAAAGTTTGACACCAGCTTTAGCTTCAAGAGGAGGAAAGATACTAAGTCATTATGTACTAAACGAGAATACATGCAGCCAAATTGTGCTTTCCCTGGCCTTTGACCTATATGTGGAAGAGGAAAAAATGTGTCTAGAAAATTTCTCAGACAACCCAAGAGAATGTAATCTAAGGCCCTTCCTTGGGCCTAGGAACAAAAGTAAGTCATAAACATGGTTATTATGCTTAAGGCTATTATTACTAGTAAAGTTCTAAGAATATCAAGATCCAATGAAGTTTACAGACAAGCCCTGGGAGGGTCTAACTCCAAGAAAGGTTGGAATAGCTTATAATGTTGTTTGATTAAGCCTGAAATTAAAAAAAAAATAAGCACAGAAACAACCAACCCTCACCCCGAGCCCATACTTTGCATGAAACAGAAGTTGTTATTCAAATGATCCTGATACTGACAGTAAAATCCTCTCTTAATGGGCTGGTGCAAGGCTGGAATCAGAGCTGGGGAGCACTCTCACTGGCTGTGCAACAGAATCTTTCTGGTCTTGTATGGAGGCTTTATCACTGTGATTCTATCTCCTTCATTCTGAATTTCATAGCTTTTCCTGCTTATAGCCTCTCCTAGCCCCAAATCCTCATAGCCCAAAGGAAGAGTGACTCCATTGATGCTCTCTGTTACCGCCAGTGCTAGAACTGTGGCCTAAGTTTTCAGTTTTACCTGCATAAATATTACACATTTTATTTGGTTATTTTTATAGTTGTGCTACCATTCCAACTCCATTACATTTCATCTATTGACTATGTGCCCTTCAGGACTGAAAGGATGGATCTATGAAAATTCTATTCCCTCTAAGGATCAGTGGTAATGTGAACGACCTATAAAGCAAAACAGGAAGAAAAGTGAGGGAAAGAAAATGAGGTGGCATTTAGTATATGAACTTGCAAAAACTTAGTAGATAAATTTTCACCATGGTGGGTCATGAAGTAGGGAACTGGCAAGGCAGAATTATGGCAGCTGGTCATTATGAGAGCAGATAACAGGAATAGATTACAGTAGTAAACCAAATTAAATTAATGTCTGCTTTGCAGTAAAAATTTAGGAATAATAATGGGATATGGATTTCAAGGGCGTTTCCTTGTTCTGTCAGCTAGTGCCCGACCCCTTCTGTGCTCATCTCCCTTCACTGGTCTTCTCATTCTAGTGACTTTATGCCAAGGGAACCTTCTACTCTCACCTTTATGGTCAGTCTTTTTTATGTGGGAATACATCTTAATAACCACAGACTTTTTATTAGAAAATGTATAATTGAAGCTTTGCAAAATTTCTATAATCTACCACAAAAGCATAACTGGATTTTTTTAAAATTAATGTTGGCATAGCTGTTATCATCTGAAGTAATTCTGTTAGTCCCTAAGTAAAAATAATGTAAGCTGCTATATTAAACCAACCAGCACTAGGAAATCTAAAATTTGGATATATCCAGTGGTATTTTCAATTCACATAAAATATTTCCATAATATTCATCCAGTCAGTTCTTCCACAAACATTTACTGAATAGTGATTATTGGGCAGGCTTTGTTAGATGAAAAAGTTCCAGGAGTAAACAAACAATGTCCTTGGTCTCTGAAGTTTACTAAACATATTGCACCCTGTATTTCAATACCACAGTATGATGAAAAGTGATGTTGATTCTGTAAATAATATGTGCAATCTCTTCCCCCTCTGCCACTCACTGACCAGCATGGACACAGATTCCAAGTCAAGAAAGATTCTAGACAAGACAGATTTCAAAATTCCAGAATCCATGGGTTCCAGATTCCAAGAGTACAGTGGATTTTATGGCTAATGAACCACGAAGTAGCCTATGAATCCTTAGGATGTCTTTTGCAGCCCCTCTAAACTCTATTAGCTTAAAGCTCTAGTAGACATAAGTATTAAGAAAAATTCCATCTTTTTTGGCTTACATTTGGCCAGTTCCAAGGCCCTTTGATGTCCTGAGAGAACCTCCTCAAGAAGCAAAGCCTAAGCTAGCCACTTTCCTCAAGGAATTTTTAGCTAAGGCATGGCACTATGTTAGAAATCAACAACCTGGTAGCACAAAAGCATGAGGTGTGCACTTAACTGGGCTTCCCAAGTGGTGCTAGTGATAAAGCACCTGCCTGCCAATGCATTCGATCCCTAGATCGGGAAAATCCCTTGGTGGTGGGCATGGCAGCCCACTCCAGTATTCTTGCTTGGAGAATCCCATGTATGGAGGAGCCTGGAGGGTTATAGTCCAAGGGGCTATAAAGAATTGGACATGACTGTGATGGACAGGGAGGCCTGGCATGCTGTGATTCATGGGGTCGCAAAGAGTCAGACATGACTGAGTGACTGAAATTAATTGAACTGAAGTGACCTAGCACGCATGTGTGATTTGATTTTTTTAAAAAGGGGTAAATTAAGGTAAGTGGAGAATCTAGAGACATATTTGTGGTATGAGATGTTCAATCTGCTTTTCTAAAACATGTAAGCAAGTGTTGCTCATATCTACATTACTCATAGAAAGTAGCAACTTCATTCTAACATAGTTCAGGTCTGTGTCTGGGTTTCAACTCAGTATTATTGTAGGCCAGCACCTACTCATTCCAAATACAGTTTCTGCAGTTCACTTTGATAGTTTTTCTGTCAAAATCATTGTAATTGAAAATACTGGATTGGTTTTCCTAAGGTTTAGTTCCTTACTGAATTATCGTGATTCTTTCCATAATTTAAATGAATAAGAGAGCAAACTATATTGAAAAATAAAAAAAGTGTTTTTCAAGTTGCTTTTTTCCCACTAAAGTATGATATAAAGGATTAAGATGTTCCTTAAATAGTTTCAGTTGGTATATAAAAAGTAGGAGCAGACAATTGGTGTCATCATAACACCAGAGATATGCAAGATCAGCTACAAAACCACACCTTTGTGTTTTACAGAGATCTGAGAATGCAAAGGCATCTGGATGAACTAATAGCAGATCAGGATAAGCTTTTCTGAGATGAGTGAAGATTCATGGCCACCTTCCTAATGGGGGAACAGACAGAGTAGAAGCAAAGCTCCATGGATGTGGGATGTCCATCAGCGTATGTAGAAAGCCAAACTCTTGTGGACCTTTGTGATGGATTATTAAGAGTCCTGAAGAGACCCAGGGAGTATGTATAGCCTACCAATTATTTTTCAGAGTCTTAACTAAGTGCACACAGTAGCTACCTTCAGAAAACTGCCCCTCTCCAGGGCAGGAAAGAGAAGAGACAGAGATCATTTTGAGAACACCTGCCCATCAAGTCTTTTCTATTGAAGGTACCAAGGGGTGGTGACAGGGCAGAAAGATTGAGAGATTTCACCCAAGACTTGGAAAGCCATAGAGAAGGCAGAGAAAGGCTGAGAGTGGTAAGCCCCTGAAAAGGCACAAAACAGTGGTGAAGGACTTTAAAACATAGGGACATGGTAGGGGGAAGAGGGAGAGAGAGATCTCTAGACTCATTAGAGAAGAGATCACATGCCCTGATAAAGGGAGAACCTCTATCCTGCTTTCAAAACATTTCAAACAAGTAGCAAACTGAAACTAAACAAAAATCAAACCAGACTCACCTCAACTGGAGAATGGACTAAAAAGAATAAACACCTCAGACTAGATGTCACAGAGAAGAAGTGGTGTGACTTTTCTGGAGTAAATATTTACTTCAGTCTCTATTGTTTTTTTTTTTATTCATTATCTACCATAAAATATATAAAACAAATTAGGAGATAAAAAGTGAAAAATGTGACTGTAATCAGGAGAAAAACAAACAAAATAGAATCAGACCCACACATTAACCAAATATTGAACCCAACAGCAAGGACTTTAAACATAAACTATAATTATACACTAGGGATATTCTGGAAAAGACAGATAAAGTTTATGAACAGAGATTAATTTCAGCAGAATTGGAAAACTAGAGGGAAATATCTTTAGGTTCATATTCTGGTTCCAACATGTATTGGGCACAGGATCTGGGATGAATTGCTTGTTCTCTGAATTTCTGCTTGCTTAGGGAAAGCCTGCCCTCTGGGGGATGCTATATTAAAAGATATAATACATATAAAGCTTTAAGTCCAATGCCTAGTGCACAGAAAGTAGTTGACATATGTTATCCTTTCTCTATTAATTTGCCCTTCCCTTGGACCTTCTGCTCTTCATCTATATATACCTTCTTTGAGGATCATGACTCCTACTATATCTATCATCTCCACTGCAACTGGCTCTCAAAGTGAAAACCTTAGTTATTAAACTTTCTCCCATGTATCTCCTCCCCCCACAACTTCAAATACTTATTGAGTGTTTTACCTGGGAGCATTGATGGGAAAGACTAGAGATCTCTTCAAGAAAATTAGAGATACCAAGGGAACATTTCATGCAAAGATGGGCTCCATAAAGGACAGAAATGGTATGGACCTAATAAGCAGAAGATATTAAGAAGAGGTGGCAAGAATACACAGAACAACTGTACAAAAAAGATCTTCACTACCTAGTTGATCACGATGGTGTGATCACTTACCTAGAGCCAGGCATCATGGAATGTGAAGTCAAGTGGGCCTTAGGAAGCATTACAGCAAACAAAGCTAGTGGAGGTGATGGAATTCCAGTTGAGCTATTTCAAATCCTCAACGATGATGCTGTGAAAGGTTGCACTCAATATGCCAGCAAATTTGGAAAACT